TCTATCTATCTATCTATCTATCTATCTATCTCTCTATCTTTCTCTCTCTCTCTTTCTCTCTGTTCCTCTCTCCTCTCTGACGTTCACATAAAAAGTGCTACTGCCTTTCCTACTCTCACTCTCTTTTTCTCACTTGCTAACTCTCTCTTTCTCTCTTTCTTTTACTCATTCGCTGACTCCCCTTGCTAACTGGCTTTGCGCGGCAACGGCGGCGCTTTACGGTGGCGGTGGCGGCTCGTGTGCGCCGAGTTCGGTTAGAGAGCTCGAGTTCGGTAGGGAGGTCGGTCCCCGGTCCTCCAACCAGAAGAAGCAAGAGAGAGATAAAAGACGGAGATAGAGTGGGACCTTTGGAGTTACTCTACGACCTACCGTGTGACGGTCTACTATTCGGGCTACCAAGTACCCAGCGCCCGGCCAACCGGACTTTTCTTCAGTCGACGCCGCGCACCCAAACGGTCCAGACCTGCCTGCCTCGCGCCTACCACTCAACCAGTCGTTAAAATAGTCAGCTGAAGACGAGTAATGAAAAACTAAATCGCGCACCCTCCATCAAGAATCCGAGACCCGAGCCCGTGCTAAGTGCCTTTGTGAAAAGCGAGTCGCCAACCACATCCACAGTGTCGCGTTTCACTGTCTCCTGACGTTGAAGAGGAACGGGCTCGAAAGCAGCAACGGTACCTCCACCTTACGTGAGTCTCAACCGCGTACGACCATCTTTCGCACATTATCAAATGGAGTCGCGATCCCTGGAAAAGGGAGCACAGTAGAGGGTGTGGTCGCGGGCCGAACGTGCGCCGCTGGGGACTGGTCGAAAACCGGTAGCCGTGGCTTTTAGCATGGGGCGGTGCGCGGTAGCCACTCACTCGCCACCGGTTGGCCTGTGGCCCCCCTTCCCCTATACGCGCGCGGCCTGGACGATATGAAGGACACTCAGAGGTCACGAGAGAAAAGCTCAGAAAGCAACGCTGAACGGAGGAAGACGGAAGGAAGGAGCAAGCGCTGCGCGTAACGCGGAAGCCCAATTAGATCCCACCAGACAGTTTTGCCCCGTACGCTGTGCCTGCTAACCAGCCAACCAGGCTACGCCCCACAGCACGCTTATTACTCATTCTGACACGCCACTTTATGCGCTCACTTTCTCGCGACTACACGCGCTATTCGCCCGCTACACAGTAGCCACTAAGCTTCTCTCCTTTTCTCTTTACTATGCTTGCTCCGACCTCATCGCGCATAATGCCTACCTTTCAGCCTTCCTCTGTTTATTTGCAATGTAAAACCGAATACTTTTTTGCGCACAATCATCTATACTACTCATGCCAGAACCTGCGTAGACATTTAAGAAATTTGACGTATGCTTGATTATTTTATAAACCCTTTATGCCCGGCTGCTATTTAATTATTCCGAACAATATTTAATGAGATTTATTTAATAGCTATGCTACTTTCGTGCCATTTTGATTAAATCCACATATCATTTTTAACTTTCTATTATCAATATGTATTGATACAAAATAGTATTATATTACAGTATTCTTATTATATATTACAGTATTCTTAATAATACTGTATATTTCGTTAACAACTTACAAAAATTATAATAATTAATTTAAAAGAAGAAAAAATTGTTTACTCTCATTATTTGAAATAATATCATTTTTATTTAATTTTGAATCTAATTAGTATTATAAAAACAATTTTCCTATGATTTATTAATGCGCGACCTCAATAACTATTTTTTAAAAATCAATTAAAATTAAACTTCTAATTAAATAGATGTATAAATGTTTTCAAAACCATTTACACGACTTATATATGGCGAATCATAATAAATAATGAAATCAATAATTTTACTGCATTATTTAATGCGTAGGACTATGAATTAAGAGAATCACGAATTGTTAAAGAAATATTTAATGAAATTAAAAATTTCATTTTAGCGGATAAACTTTTTACGAGAATCGTTGGAACGGCATTTATTTACTATCACGGAACTATGCGTTTGGCGAAAAACATAAAATAATGATCCAGAATGAAAAAAAAGAAAAGAAAAAAACGTCGAATCGTTTGTCTGGCTCATAAGAAGAGCGCTTTCCCAACAACTAGAAGGTAACGAGTCAGATCCCCCATAGTCACTTAATGATCAGTTTTTATAGCCACTCTAGAATTTCATTTCTTGTCTCAATTTATCGTTTGAGTCATTTATATTCTGCAAATATTAGAAATCCGACTGCGACTGATTAATACTGTTTTTTCTTCACACTGACTTTTGCTATATTAGCTAAAGAGACAGTCGTATAAGCAAATAAAAAATTCATTGCGAAAGCCTCAAATGCTTGAGACATAAGGGATGCAAGATAGCGGTAGCGAGCAGTGATTCTGGTTTTGTTGGCAGGTAACGGTGATCTAACTCGGAAAGAACAGCAGCATCTATTAGGCAGCGAGTATCAGCCTAGCGCCAAGCAACGAGTGGAAGGAGTAGTCGGTGGTAACGCATACGCATACTTTTCTTGAACGTTGCCAACAAGCGGTGGGAATTCATAAGGATGTTCGCGATAATGCCGATGGAGACAGAGGGGCACGGCAGGGAGTTTGGTCGCCGACAGAAGATGCGCGCTAAATGCACTGTTGAATTCGTCTGCAAGTACTGCCAGCGGCGATTTACTAAGCCCTATAACCTTATGATCCACGAACGTAGTCACAAGGACGATGTGACTTTTACATGCGAGGTCTGTGGCAAGTCTTTTAAGCGCCAGGACAATCTCAAACAACACAGGTAATGCATTTACGTCCAAGTATAATTTTATTTCTATTACAATCGTTGCATCCACCAGTTTCGTTATCTATTAACTTCGTGGTTATCCCGTCCTCTCTTGCGTCATTAGTAAATCATCCTTTTGTACGCTAGACATCGACGAAATGCTTTCGAAAACGTCCAGAAGGAAGGGCGGACGAACTGAATATAATGCGCGCGTATACTTGACAACTGACAATAGTTAGCTTTCAGACCGAGGACGAGAGGGGACATTGATGTTGTGCAAAAAAAAAACACTTTACGAGATTGGGCAAATTTCTTCTTTAAGAAGCAACACACCTTAAACGAAAATGCAATGGTTCTAGAAGGAAGTCACCATAGTTGAGCATAAAAGAATATTTCGCGGTGTGACAATAGCATGAGTATGCGTATCCACATAAAATCAATAACTATTCATGAAAGAACTAAGAATGAGAAAAACCGGTTTATCGACTTTGACTCGCGACATCTTTCCTTACCTTCTCTCTACCATCTCCGCTCCCCGCCATCACCCTACCACACTTCTTCCTAACCACCCCTCATTCTTTTTGTGTATATTATATATATATCTATATATATATATATATATATATATATATATATATTCATTTTTCACAAAACACGACTACAGAATAATTCAAAATAATATTGCCTGGAATTATATTCTTTCTAATATAACTACATTTAAACAATATTATCAACGTGTTCAATTAAATGTTTAAAAAAAAATTATATTTCGTGACTTCCTTCTTAATCATGTTGATTCTTAATTTTACGGAAATTTACGGGCGATGACTCAAAATATTATATGGTATTTCAAATACAGAAGTAAATAAGACTAATAAACTATAAATAATTTTATATTAGTTATTGATTTTTTTTGAATGACAATCAACTTTTGTTGTAGAAGCGCAGAGTAACCCATATTATCACCTTCATAATCGTATTTTTCAAAATTAATATATCTTATGTACATACTACATTACGGGTACGTTGTCTTTTATATACAAAAGCATAATATAAAAATATATTTTAATAATTATTAATTAATCTAAATAATAATAAATACAATATTGCATTAAAAAAATTTTTTTTTTAAATAAAGAAAAATATTAGTCTTGTTTTTTATAAACTGAAAAAACAGAATGATACTTATTCTGAGTGACTACAATGAACTTGAAGGAAAAAAATGTCCTTGTGCATTAATAATCTATCCGAGTTCTAATGTATATTACGTAATATTTCCGAGTACATAGAAAATTAACAAAAAACAATTTTTCATCTGCATGATAAAAATTATTTGTATATGTTAATTAGCTAAAAAAAGTTAATTAATCTATCATATTAATTAGCGCAATTTAAAAAATAATGTGCTTATAACTTGGAATGATTATCATGAGGACGTACCGTAACACGATTTGTATAGTTACATGTTACACATTACATATCCGCGATTTATTGCATAAAAAAATGATTTCAAACACAAGAAACAAAGAAAAGTATGTTAAGTTCATCGCTAAAAACATGTTTTCTAAAATCAACCGAACATATTATAAATTATTCATTAAAAATTTAGAAACAGAATGAGGTTGAAACGACAGTTTATAATAATAAAGATTAAAATTATTAAAATTCAGCATCAAATAATTTTTATAATAAATATATCCGTATATCAAAATATTATATAATAATAAATAATATTGCTTCTGCACCAAATTTTATCTCTATGTTATAAATAATATTTAATTTATATTTTATTATAATTTAATCAATATTAATTAATGAATTTGCCTAGAAATTTTTAAATAAATTTTCAATTTAATCTCATAATCTATTAACGTATATTTTAACAACCAATAAATAGTTGTTTTAGTATAGTTTTATTTTTGAATGTTTAGAACTGCAAATTTACCGAGATTAAATTATTGATATTTAAAGAATTTATTTTTTATATGGATTTTTTTTTAATTAAAAAATATTAAAACATATTTTCGAATTAATAATAGAGAGAACAACATTTTTTAGTTTCAAATTTTCAATTTCTTAATAAAATTATAATAATTTTCTATATGATCATTGTCAATAATAAATACATTTTACATAAGGTAAAAGTATTATAGCAAAATAATAAAAACGGTTTCAAATTATTCAAATATTTTATGCTAGTTTAATTAAACTTACTATATTTAATTGATGTAATGCAAACAAGTATTATTTTAATACTTACAATAATACATGAATTACGAGAACGGATAAAGTAATAGACAGCTTTATTAACTATGATTCGTTAAAATGAGGGAAGAAGAGGGCGCGAAAGAACAGTCAACGTTAAATGACCTCGAGCTGGCAAAGTCGCATGTACAGCTTTGAGAAACGTCTAAAATTGATCGTCAAGTCTCGTCGCAAATCACCAGTACCAGGGAGAGTCAGGGGCACGGCAGAACTCGAGAGGATCTGCGTACTGTACCGCAACGCCTGTCGCTTATTTGCTACGAGATGCGCGCGAGATGATATTTTCTGTCGTGGAGATGGCACGTAACCTATAAATCAGAAGGATAACGCGCAGATCGTATAACGGCGAACGTTAAAAGTGCATACGCATATAACTCTGTCTTGAACCTCTCTCTCTCTCTCTCTCTCTCTCTCTCTCTTGCTTACTCTTTCAAGTTATCTCCATTTTTGTTATTTCTACATTTTTTTCTCTTATACTCGTTCTTTATTCTAGTGAGCAAGACTCTGGATATGCTATGCACAATGCGCGCGGTATGGTTTACTAATGGATACCTTATGTGTAATAGCGGTGGTCTTGTTTTTTTCTCTTTTGTTGTAGATGTGGGTGGCGGTGAGCGGGAGCTTGCTCGGAACCTCCTGCCTTCTCACATATTCACACACGCGCGATAATACACGAAAATATCATTTATAAAAAACAAGTCAGAGAGATAAGAAATAAAAATATATACTGTGTTACTCCTCTGACCCACGCCTGACCACCATCCGCTACACATAGAAGCTTTGTTTGAGAATATTTTACTTACTGACTCGCTCATTCGCTTTTTCTTTCATAGTTATGTCCGACGCGAATTACTTTTTATTTTGTATTTCGTTAGTATGTTTACACTTTATTTTATGTTTATGTTACACTTTCCCGGATTTACGAAATACTCATTTGCCTCTGCTTTTACATTCTCCCTTTGATAACTCTTGCTCAGACTGTACCCAGCATGTTGTATACTCTGCACTCTTAACACCAATAACCCTATTATCTGGACATCGAAAATGAAAGGAGACGGAATTCCGATTGCGTATAATACGTGATAACATACGTGTTGCAAATATCATGCAACCGTGAAACGCGTGGCGAAATAACAAGGCTGCATCTGCAATCTCGAACATAATGGTCATCGTAAACATATTCATTCAAAACTATGATATTTAATTGTTTTTATTTATATTTTTTTTCCTACATCAACTCTATCAGACATCTGAAAAAATATAAAAAAATAATACCATCAGTAATAAAATATATCTATTTATTTAAACATAGGGCTCGAAACGAGACCAAATTATGTTTTCGAGAGCATTTGCAACAAGAAAATTTTCCTCGACGACCTGAGTGTGCTTATTAAATTATCTAATAATTATGAAAAAAAAACAAATAAGACAAAAAAACAAGGAAAAACTTTAGATGCCGGCACATCCTCTTACCTCTCGTTTTGGCACAATCTCTGTTCCAGGAGCATACACTCCGTTCCCTACAAGGGCTCCAACGGCTACTCGAATGGCTATTCGAATGGCTACTCTAGGTACTAGAAGCCATCCGACCAACTCGCCAATGTCTCCCTATTCCATTTTCCTTAACTATCCTAAAAACAATAATTCCATACATATAGACTCATTCAAGTTTTCCTGAAATATGTAGATTAATTTGTTTCATATCCTTTCACACGCCTCACATTATCCATCCGATTTTATATATATCCGTCCGCTGTTGTTCGACGTCGCCGGACACGCGCGACACATACACAGAAATACACGTATAAACGCTATTTAGGTACCGGCGCTGATTGACGCGGGACCTTCCGTTTAAAAAAATCCCGCGCTCTCGCTAGTCCAGCAGTCCCTAATATTTTCTTATCTTTATCTATTTTCCTTTCCTATAAGCTCTATCCCCTTTCACTCTTACGCATACTCACACACATACAGACTCCTCCCTCTCTCTATATTTATCTATTTATGTATCTATAAATCTGTCTTTTTGTAAGTGTTTCACTGCCTCTTTTGCTCAACATATCTTCATACATTAATTACGCAAAAATCACATCCTGCAATGAGCCTCTCCTGCACTCAAAGATCCGCATTTTCCCTGGCAACATGGAATTAAAAGCAACATCAAGAGATCTGCACTGTATACTACGTCAGAAATAGAAGAATCGTCAACGTCATCATCATCAGGAACAACAGCCAAGATGAGTGATCCAAAAAGAAGGAGTAGATGACGGTCATACCTTCAGAATTTCAGCTGATTTCGTTTTTGATTGTAGACTATGTAATAATGGATTGAGCGAGAGAGAAACAAAGAGAGAGAGAGAGAGAGAGAGAGAAGGAAAGAAAACGAAGATTGGTTACAGAGCACAAATTGATTCTATAATCTTTGCTACCGAAGTATAGTCGGCCACGTCCAACCTTCAGGCGACACATCCTTTGAGGTTGATAAGATTTTTTTTCTCTCTCTTTCTTTGTTATACATTCATATACTCAAACTTGTTATCCCAAATGTGTACATGCTTTCGCTCCATTTTGCAAAAATTTCTAGTAACTTGATTGTAATATTGATGCGTGCGCATTCTCGCGTAAGTGATGAGTGACTACCGTATAGCGAAGCGACGGTGTAAAAAGAATACCGGTGCTGAGCTTGGCAACGTCTACAAGAGCTAACTGGCGTTCAATGCTATAAATAATAATTAGCCGCTCTCCACTGCAACTGATATCACTTTTATTCAGTCATCATTATTTTTTATATCCTTATCTTTCTCTCTCTCTCTCTCTCTTTCTCTCTCTCTGTCTCTCTCTCTTTCTCTCTCTTTCTCTCTCTTTCACCAAATTACTGTCACAGCTCTATTTTCGATGATCATGGGTAAGTAAACCTTCATTGGCGAACCCCTCGAAAGATGATCGATGAGAAATTCACTTTGTATAGTCGATATATAAAGTCAGAGAACACTGTTTTGTTCGTCATTTCCTGAAAATCGTATTGGGCTGGCTCGTATAGGAGGGCTCAAGTGACGAAAGAGATCAGTAAGATTAAGGGACCACTGTTAAATGCCTTTTAATACCACGATGTCAAGATCAATAGGCCTGAGCACAATATATATTGTAGCTTGCGCGCTTCAGCTTTTAAATGCATAATCGTTACGATGCCGTCTCTCCTTGATCTTATTTTTCCTTTTCTTTCCTTTTCTTTCCTTTTCTTATCTTTTTCAACTATATACCAATATAACTAAATAAATAAATAAATAAATAAATAAATATATATATATATATATATATATATATATATAAACAAATGAGACTGCAGTCGTGCTTTGTATATAGCTCAACATATTCTGTCGTTTTTATCATTATGATTATTATTATTATTATTATTATTATTATTATTATTATTATTATTATTATTATTATTATTATTATAAAAATAATAAGATACCACGAATATATATATATATATATATATATATATATATATATATATATATATATATATTATGATAATTTTATAAAAGATGATCGAATAGTCCTTAGTCACGTAGCTATCGATAGGTTGAACTGAAAAAAATCCACGTTAAGTCACATCCAGTAGTACCTAGTACATTTAGGAGTGATTATTAAAATGAGTTACGTCAATTAAAAATATTTACAATGTACATGTATACAATATCTCAAGTCTCTATCGCTTTAGCTTTACAAATATATAAAGCTCAACTATGCTAAAAGATTTTTTTCCTCGATGTCCGCGCCTGCATCATTACGGTATTTTATATTGTAACAATATGAGAAAATAAATACACGTACATACGTGTATATATATATATATATATATATATATATATTTAAAGACCTCTACGTTTCCGACTGTACCTTCTCTTTTCAAAAATAAAAAAAAAAGAATGGTGATAACGCAAACACAAGAAGAAAAAAGGAATTACTTTGTCTACGATAAAAATTATTACTATCATCGAAGCAATGCACAGTTGAAATGAAACAATGTACTATAAAACGTTCATCGCCGTCACCTGCCAATAAAATTTTGCTAAGTCGTACAATATTTACAGTTTGATTAATTTATTTTGTATCTCTTATCCTTTTTGCTTATCCAGATCTCCCTCGCCAACTTTACTGCTCTGATATTTGGCTACGTACCTCTGAAACAAGCCATATATATTTAAGATTTTTTATTTGTTATTATATAATATGAATAAAAATAGACTTGTAGAAAAACTATTTTATACATTATCATAATTCAATCTAATCACAAAAAAATCCAGATACATATTATTTAATTAATTTTGTCAACATGTAATTAAAAAAAAACAAATTTACTTATTATTCTTAAAGATAAAAACAATTGTAAATATAACTATGTAATATTTATGACTTCTCCTATAAATATGTACAATTGTATTTTATAAATAAATATGTTAACGTCTATACGAGTTTTCTTCTAGTTTTAAATGTTTTCTGCATTGAGATAGATTTTAAAACATTGAAATAGATTTAAAAGTATTCAAATATACTGTGATATAGTTATTTATTATTTGTGATTATTCTACCAGTTTAAATATAATTTTATGAATAATAAACGGAAAATTATTTAGTATTATTGGGATTAGAAGTAGTTTATTCTTTTATTTTATTACATGTAGTATACTTTGAAAGTGTAATACCAAGAAGTATTGCATTCGTGATCTTATTTTTAAATCACTGCTTAAGCATTAACGCACATTAGACTTTCAGCAGTGCAATTAACTTAATTTCGGACTTGCTGGGTATCATTTAGCGAACGAAGCGAAAGAAATAATAGCAATAAAGCGGACTAGAACAATGCATCAATTTGTTAAACTGCGTAGGAGATTCTTATGGCTATTGATATGAGTAAAGGGAGCTGCAGAGTGCAGCAAAGGAAGTCGAAGCCTCGAGAGTCGCAAAAACTTTCTCTCTGCACGCGGTTATCGAGAAATAAAACACGTTGAACTCTCTAGGAAAAGAAAAAGAAGAGGTTCGTTTCAACCTCGGTTCCAGAGTGAGAGCTGCTGATGCCAAGCTCCGAAAGAGGCTTGTTCGACAAGTCGTTTCAATCACAACAGCACGCAAATCTGTGCCTGAGCATCCACTTAAGCACTTATCGATAAATACGATTCTGAACATCAACTAAGGTAAATAAACTAGAGCTAATACATCGTTTGCTTACATAAGCGAAGTATACGACAGTAACAAACTTTATAAATGAATGTAGTAAACTACATCCCATCTAGGTATGAGCTTCTCAACTCCTGACAGCCTAACTAATATTCCTTGAATCTACGATGGCACGATTTATTACAAGATAATTATTTTTGCTTTTTTCCATTAAAATTATGTTCACTAACTGTAATAAATAAACATTACTTTATATAGATAAAATTTTCTTTTGTATAAGAAAGTTATTGAGAATGAAAGTAATTTCATAAAATAAAAAATAGATATTTGATTCAGTTAATGGATAAAATTAAATAATAATATTTCAAACATTATTATTTTTATACACAATTCTATGTCATAAAATAATTTCTTTTAATGCTACATTTTTATTTATCTATTTATTTTAATGGTACTCGATTACAAAAATCAGAATTACAACTTTTTTATAAAAAAAAAACAAAATTATAAATAAAAGGCTAGTTCAAATAATATTGTTTTAAATTATAATTATAATTAAATTAATTATATATAATTAAAATATAATATATAATTAAAATAAATTAAACAGCAAGTGCAATAACGAACAGTTTCAATAATATTCATTTTTTATTCTTTTAAATAATTTTCATTTCAACTATTAAAATGTATGAACATATTCCGTATTATAGAAGATATCAGTTTGAACTTATTATTTTTGAAATATATTAATATCTGATTTCCAAATATAAATAATTAAAACTACTATAAAAATAAATGCATATCTGTATTCTACATGTATATCCGTTCTTTGGTATATCGTTTATTGGATATGGGCATGTATACCGTTTCATTGGAATCTCTCTTTAAAGTATTTATCTATTTCAAAACAACAGCTAAATAATAGTTTCAACTCGTTACATACTAATCCTAATTTTTATTAATATCATCTTATAAATACGTGAAGACAGAATAATATTAATTGCAATTCCAATTCTAGTATTTTTTAAGTACAAATAAAATATATTAAATAATTGAAACTCTTTTATTGTTTGTAATAAATGATTTTTATACAATTAAAATTTTATAAATACATTCACGCATAATTATTGTAATAATAGATATTAAGTATATAATAAAAAATTAATTTTTAAAACTGCAGGTAATTTGAGAAAATTTGTATAAAAATAATTTTAATTTAATTATTAAATTTTTAAATAAATTATACATAATAAAATATTGCTTTAATAATAATTTTTTTTAATGTTTGAAAATTGTATCAAATAACTTAGTAGCTAAATATTGTTAATTATAACAAATATTTTCTTAAATATACGTACGATTTCATTCTCAAATATGATCGAGAAAATTAAATAAAACAATTATAAATGTATAATTATATCATAATTTTAAAGTAAATCTGAACTTCAAGTTATATAATTAGCTTCAATTATAAAAGCATATAATATGATAATTTAATTAAATTGATTCAATTAATTGATGATATTAGATAATATTATTGGATAATAAATTTAAAAAATTGTTTTGTACTGTTTTATTATATTGCATATTTACTATGTGAAATATTTTAATATTTGGAAATGCAAATAATTTATATGAAAATAAGAATAAAAAAGTAGTAATTTCAATTATAAAATGCAATACGTTTTTCAAATACATCACGGTATTAATATATTATATCTTATGTATTACAATATTTTAAGTGAAATCCTTATTTTTGTAATTGTATTATTATTGTTTTTAAAATGTAGAATATATTTTGAATTATATATATTCGTAACATTAAGCATGTTGTAAATATTATTATAAATTTTATTTATTTTATATATAAAAAATTTAGATAAAATCAAATAAGTATACTTATACTTTACCGTTTATTTACAAAAGAATTATTTTTATATCTTTTATGCTATTTTTCTATATAAATACATATAAAATAATTGGAATGTCATAATTATATTTTTCTCTGCAAGGAAACAACAATCTTAGTTTGACATATAATTGAATTATTAAGATGAAAAGCAGAAAATAAACAATCGGAGTCTCTAATAAAGCGTAGATTAAAAAAAAATACGAAGTGAAAGAGGCTTGCGTATCCCGACATATGCATACATACGAAAAATTATGTTGCTAAGTTCTGAATGCTGCATAGAGAAAGTTACGCGCGAAATATATTGTACTTTTTTCCAGTTTTTGAGTCGCGTAATTCGTATTCACGTACAGTAAAACGGTGTAAGTGAGATGAGTTTATACCAGTTGATTAGTTATAAGTGGACATAAAAAGGAAAGAAAATAAATGCAAGTGAGTATCAAGCATTGGGAACAACTGAAACACGTTAACAGCAACTCTCACGTCCTTGAGTAAAACTCATGGAGAATGCTATCATGAGGAAACATCCGATTTCCTTTTAAAATACGATCGACATGAGTTTATATTTCTCATCTTTAGCCAATATTGAAGTAGAAATCGTTCAAATCGACTTACTCAATTAGCAGCTTTTCCCAAATACCACTATGGGTGAAAGGTCGGGTCTTGGGATGTGGAGCGCGTATGTGAGTAGCTGCGAGCCAAGCTTTCA